TAAAACCGGACGAATATATATGGAAGCCATATTTAAATCTGGACCGATTTTTACGAAACTTAGCACACATCATTCTAGGCTTAATCCAGTACGCTGTGCCAAATTTCGTGCAAATCGAATAATATATAGGGACTTTGGTACACCATCTACCTTAAATCGGACGAAAATATATATGGGAACTAAATCTGGATCGATTCTCAGGAAACTTAGCACACATCATTCTAGACCTAATTTAGTACGCTATACTAAATTTCGTGCAAATCGAAAGAAATGTAAGGACTTTCGTACTCCATTTACCCAGTTTCAGTAGGGTTCGTCCTTGGGCCACATAACTGAGCTATGCCAAATTCATCCAATTCGGATCATAAATGCAACCTGTACTTTGTTTAAAATTGAACATGGACAGACAGACAGACGGATGGACGGACATGCATAAATCGACTCAGAAAATGATTCTATGCATATTCTCAAAAGAAACCATGGGTCTATCTCGTTTCCTTTTGCCTGTTACAAACATATGCACAAATATATAATACCCTGTACCACAGTGTTGGTATAAAAATCAGAGACTTTAATACATTTTTAAGACATCTTTTATAAGGTTGTATTTTTATACCCTACACAACTATGTTGTCAGGGTATTATAGCTTTGTGCAGCCCCAAATGTTTGTAACGCCGCGAAATATTGGTCCTAGACCCATCTTTAAGTATACCGATCGTCATATCTCGACTAGCTGAGTCGATCTAGACATGTGTGTCCGTCCGTCTGTCCATTATAATTTGTAAACACGATACAGGCCACAGTTATGAACCAATCTTCATGAAATTTTGCATGTGGGATGGGTTCTGGCCAATGAAGACCCCTATTGTTTTTGGGAAAGATCGGTTAATATTTAGGGGATGAAATGGACCAAAAACTTTATTTTTTCGGTTTTTCTGGTAGCTCCAGAGGCCGCAATTATGGCCCAAACACCGCGAATTTTTGCATGGAGAAGGGGATTGGACCAAAGAATAAGCATGCCTGTTTTGATAAAGATCGGTCAATATTTAGCGGGTCAAATGGACCCTGACTTTTGTGTGAAAAATTACAAAATTTGTATTGTATGGCGTATATATTTACTCCTGAAAGATATAGACCCGATAAGTTGATAGTGTGTCGAAGATGAGTGGTTGACCATTAAATTGATACCAATTATATTGTCATATGTACGCGGATGTGGAGTTACACTTAAATACTTGCAGGTGCTTACATATTTATATATTATTTGGTAACCCATTACCACACTAGATGGCGGAAATATAGCGCTGATCGCTTTGTAGATTTCCATGAGATTCCCGTTATGGTCAACGACAACGCCTATAATTTCGGTGATGATCAGATAATAATTTTGGGATGAAGTGGACCGAGAACCTTTTTTTGGGTTTTTGTTTTCGAGTCGAAATATTCCCCATGCTCAGAATATATAGAACCACAGAAAGTTAGATTTTCGTGGAAGTTGTGTAGGGTATCATATGGTCGGCCCCGTCCGACTATACTGCTCCGCTAACTGGTTTAAAAATGTTTTTTAGGCACCTTCCATAGGCGTGGATTTTTTAAAGATATTTTTTAACCTAACTAATATAGGCATGGATTTTTTAAAGATATTTTTTAACCTAACTAATATAGTCATGGATTTTTTAAAGATATTTTTTAACCTAACTAATATAGTCATGGATTTTTTAAAGATATTTTTTAACCTAACTAATATAGTCATGGATTTTTTAAAGATATTTTTTAACCTAACTAATATAGTCATGGATTTTTGAACGATTTTTTATGGGTTCTTATTGCACTTCCTCTTAAATTTAATATTATTGGACTCCTAACATGAACCTTTGAAATAAAATATATTCTGTTGGAAATAAAATATTATTGTTAAAACAAAAATAATAACAAATTGCAAAAAAATAAACACAAACACTCAGTGGACTATTAATAATGTCAGTCCGTTATGCAAACGAAAGGAAGTTGACGACAAAAAGTGTTGTAATATTTTCCGTCTTGCAAATGCTTTTCTTTGTTGGCAATTTTCTTCGGCGACCCCTTACCCCCATTCTGCACCATGCTTCTGCTGTTTCGATAACTAGCCAATATGTCAGCATAATATTTATACAATTAACTTCCGCTCAACATCATTCAGTTGCAAAACACAGAAGGACAAGAACCTTCAACTGCAGAATATACAAATGGTGGCATATCGAACGACCATCGATTGAAAAAAAAACGAAATCACCACAATTTCTGGTAAAGATATCCTTAAGAATTTATCATTTCCTTAAAAACACAATGGCTGGTTGTGGTGGAGGAAATCCATCAAAAGGTAGTAACCGACAGACATACTCCGTGAATGTCCCTAGTTGGCGATATGCAAAAGGACAGCCAAGGCAATCAGTCAGCTACTCAACCACACCAATGTAAGATGAAATATTAGAATAGCTAATATTTTCTTTTCTTCGATATCATTTGACATGAACAAAGGAGAGTGAGTTCTTCTTACCTGAAATATTCGTTCCACTTTGCTTTTGATTTTCTCCTCTTCGGGCAGCTCGTCAGGCAGACGTCCCATTAATTCATAAATGGCAGTCACAATATCAGTCATTTCTTCCCGTGTTATGTAGCCATCGCCATTGATGTCATATAATTGAAAAGTCCAACGTAATTTCTCCTCGACGGAACCACGCGACAATATCGAAAGTCCTTGAACAAAATCCTGTAAAAGGAAATGAAACATAAACATGAAGGCAAACATACACACACAAAGTTACAAACAAATGGTTGGTTATAACATTCATCTATAAGTAGGTGAGGACGAAAAAACAATTTAAAATAAATGCTTCACTTTTTCAATATTTTTTCTTCTTCTTCCCTCGCATTTCTTTCGTCCTTTCTATTTTAGTTATTTTTGCTTGAAAGACGATGAATAAGAATTTTTCTTGTTTTGGTTATGAAAAAAAGGAAATGTAAAGTGCAAAGCGGTGGAATGAAATGAAAATTATGACAAATTGAAGGTGAATTTATAAAATTGATGTACATCTTGTCAGTGAAAGAAAATGTAATATTTTTCTCTGGTGTAATAATGGACAGTGGTAAAAAAAGGGGAACAAATGTAAAATAACAAAAAATAATACTTTCTTAAGGACCATTCATAAGACGTAAATTTTTTAAAGAATATTTTTGAAAAGGGCCATCCATAAGGCGTGGATTTTTCAAAGAATATTTTTGAAAAGGACCATCCATAAGGCGTGGATTTTTTAAAGAATATTTTTGAAAAGGACCAATACAAGGCGTGGATTTTTTAAAGAATATTTTTGAAAAGGACCAATACAAGGCGTGGATTTTTTAAAGAATATTTTTGAAAAGGACCAATACAAGGCGTGGATTTTTTAAAGAATATTTTTGAAAAGGACCAATACAAGGCGTGGATTTTTTAAAGAATATTTTTGAAAAGGACCAAGACAAGGCGTGGATTTTTAAAGAATATTTTTGAAAAGGACCAAGACAAGGCGTGGATTTTTAAAGAATATTTTTGAAAAGGACCAATACAAGGCGTGGATTTTTAAAGAATATTTCCAAGGCTATTGTGAGGAGTGGATTTTTTAAAGAATATGCTCACGGGCTACTGTGAGGAGTGGATTTTCAAAGAATATTTTTAACACTTATTGAAGGGCGTAGGCGTGGATTTTCAAAGAATATTTTTAACACTTATTGAAGGGCGTAGGCGTGGATTTTCAAAGAATATTTTTAAGGACTATCGTGAGGAGCGGGAATATTTTTTCAAAGAATATTTTTAAGGACTATCGTGAGGACGGGATTTTCAAAGAATATTTTTAAGGACTACGGTGAGGAGCGGGATTTTTAAGGACTATCGTGAGGAGCGGGATTTTCAAAGAATATTTTGAAGGACTATCGTGAGGAGAGGGATTTTCAAAGAATATTTTTAAGGACTATCGTGAGGACGGGATTTTCAAAGAATATTTTAAGGACAATCGTGAGGAGAGGGATTTTCAAAGAATATTTTTAAGGACTATCGTGAGGAGCGGGATTTTCAAAGAATATTTTTAAGGACTATCGTGAGGAGCGGGATTTTCAAAGAATATTTTTAAGGACTATCGTGAGGAGCGGGATTTTCAAAGAATATTTTTAAGGACTAGCGTGAGGAGCGGGATTTTCAAAGAATATTTTTAAGGACTGTCGTGAGGAGCGGTAAAGAATATTTTTTCAAGGACTATTGTGAGGCGTGGGATTTTTAAAAAATATTTTTCAAGGACTATTGTGAGGCGTGGATTTTTAAAGAATATTTTTCAAGGGCTATTGTGAGGTGTGGATTTTTTAAAAACATATTTTTTATATTTCTTTTAAATATTTTGAGTTATATATTGCGTTGCATTGTTTTGATTATTAATAATTTCACTGTATTATAAAATAAATCATTTAGGATAGTAATAAAACTGACAAATCACCTTTCTTAGCCCGCAGTGTAATATTTCTTATAAATTGCATTGCTCTGAATGCCATAAAAAGAAGTAGCCCAAAGCTACACACAATCACACAGTAATTGTCCAGAATTTGTTTTCTTTCATTCCAGAATTTTGTTTTCCTTCTGTCACGTTATCCATCCACCATCCTTGTCACTCACTTTATCATTTATTATTTATCGTTTTATTATTTTTTTGCTTTTGATTGGATTCTACATCTAAATGTTTTGGTTTTGGCAGAAGGTCATTTGGAAAAGTAACTAAGAAGGTAATGGCATCCCATAAAGGGAACTGAAGGTTAAAATAAAGTTTTTTTTCGCATTGAACGCTTTGTAAGAAAGAGAAAAAATATAAATAAATCGAAATTTCATTTCCGCCAATTCGGACACCAACAAAGCGTAAAGGAAAACAAACTTTCATAAACTTTGCCATCATTTTTCTTTCGTTTTTTATTTTGAGTTTATCCTGCAATTTTTGGTATAGTTTTGTGGCTGCTATTGGCGCCTAGAGGAACAAGCATTAATAAGTGATCAATCAAAACAAAATCGTATACTTTTTGAAAAATATATTTATTTTTGGTTGTGACTTGAGGGTGGAAGGGGGTTGATATTGTTTCGTAAATGCTTGAAAAGTTGTATCCTCGAAGTTTTTGTATTTCTTTTTTTAGTTATTCTGAATATTTTCCAATAGTCGTAATCATTAGTAAGATAAACTCTTTTTGCATCATTTTTTGTATAAATAGTTGCCAATTTGTTGCAGCTGTGATGGATTTGAAATTTCTTTTTATTGGGGGAGAAAAACAGTTATGAAAATATATTCTTGCAAAAAGCCTTTAAGGTATTTTGCAGAATATTGATTATAGTTGCAATAGTCTATTGAAAATAAATCGGTATCTATGAAGGCAAGGAACAAAAATGTATTCTTTAAAAACCCACGCCTATATTAGCTAGCTTAAAAAATATTTTTAAAAAATCCACGCCTATATTAGCTAGCTTAAAAAATATTTTTAAAAAATCCACGCCTATATTAGCTAGCTTAAAAAATATTTTTAAAAAATCCACGCCTATATTAGCTAGCTTAAAAAATATTTTTAAAAAATCCACGCCTATATTAGCTAGCTTAAAAAATATTTTTAAAAAATCCACGCCTATATTAGCTAGCTTAAAAAATATTTTTAATAAATCCACGCCTATATTAGCTAGCTTAAAAAATATTTTTAAAAAATCCACGCCTATATTAGCTAGCTTAAAAAATATTTTTAAAAAATCCACGCCTATATTAGTTAGTCTGGAAATTTTACCAACGAGTAAAAGACCAAACCGAAGGTTTTGGTGCAGGCACATCCTCATGTAGTGATGAAGAAGGAAACCTGGTGACAGATACAGCCAGCGTTTTGAGGATGCATCAGCTGACTAGTACAATTTGGCTAGAAGAATGCATGTCCAATATTGGAACCTCAGCACCTGTGTCCCGTGCACAAAAAAGGAGACAAGACTCTCCTTCCCATCGCATATAAAGTGCTATCCAGCGTACTGTGTGATCGACTGAAGCCAATGGTCAATGACATTATTGGACCATACCAATGCGGCTTCAGACCTGGCTAATCCACCATTGAAGGAAGGAAACTTGGTGACAGATACAGACAGCATGTCTGGAATGAGCACTGGCGGTGAAGAAGATATCCCAGAACCAATAAGAGATGATGGTAAAGAGTGTATACCACCTAGCCAAGATGAGGTCATAAAAGCAATTAATCGGCTCAAGAACAATTAAGCAGCAGGAGCCGATGGGTTACCAGCCGAACTATTTAATACTGGTGGTTAGATGCTGGTCAGGAGCATGCACCAGCTGATTAGTACAACTTGGCTAGAGGAATGCATGTCCAATGATTGAAGCTTCAGCATCCTGTGTACGGTGCCCAAAAAAGGAGACAAGACGATATGTGCCAACTATAGAGGAATTAGCCTTCTACCCATTGCATATAAAGTGTTATCCAGCGTGCTGTGTGAACGACTGAAGTCAATCGCCAATGACTTTATTGGACCATACTAATGGCTTAAGACCTGGCAAATCCACCATTGACCAGATTTTCACTCTGTGTCAATTCCTGGAAAAGACCCACGAAAAGCACATCGACACATATGCCGTCGACTATAATGCCGCATTCGACAGCTCTATCCGCTCAGAGGTGTGTAAATGTATACGTTCGGCATTCCTGCAAAATTAATACGGCTATGCAGGATAACGTTAAATGGCACAAGGTCAGCAGTTAAAGTCGGAAAGGACCTTTCAGAGCCCTTAAATACCGAACGAGGATTCAGACAAGGTGACAGCTTGTCGTGTGATTTTTTTAACATCCTGCTGGAAAAGGTCATTCGAGACGCAAAGGTGAACAGAAATGGCACTCTGTACACCAAACAACACATGTTACGCCGATGATATCGATATAATGGGTCGAACATTGCGAGCGGTAACAGCCACTTTTGAACCAATTGAGAAGGAGTCTGCCAAAGTGGTTCTGGCAGTAAACGGCGAGAAGACCAAGCTGATGGTATCAACGCGCAAGACGTCCAGTAGACTCGGACCAACTGTGGTACTTGAGAACTACAGCTTCGAGGTAGTTAAAGATTTTATATACCTTGGTACCGCCATAAATAAAACGAATGACATCAGTTTTGAAATTCGGAGAAAGATTGTACTATGGTCTGAGCAAACAACTCAAAAGCAAGGCCACCTCCCGCCAGACCAAATTCACACTTTACAAGACGCACTACTACCCGTGCTGTTATATGGATCTGAAGCATGGCTACTTGCGCAAGCAGATGAGGCAGCTCTTGGGGTGTTTGAAAGAAAAATTCTTCGAAAGATCTACGGACCGATCTGCGTCGAATGAACCACGAGCTTTACAATTTATACGCGGACATTGAGCTGCAGCGACTACGATGGCTAGGCCATGTTGTGCGAATGAATGAGAATGCCCCAGCTCAAAAGGCATATAAAAGCGAGCCTACTGATGGTTCGCGTAGAAGGGGAAGGCCACGAATCAGATGGAAAGACCAAGTAGAAAACAACATCTTGGAACGTAGTCTTTCAAATTGGAGGAGATGCGCGCAAGACCGACGCCCTTGGAAAACTTTTTTAAGCTTGGCTTATGGAACAACCGTTCTGTAACAAGCCAGGTAAGTAAATAGGTAATATTAGTTAGCTTAAAAAATATTTTTAAAAAATCCTTAAA